ATAAAACTAATTGAAGAAATGAAATGGAATAAGTTGTGGAAGAGTTGAAGAAAAAATTTTATGTCAATATTTGCTAATACGTTAAAGCTAACAACAAAAATGGCTAACTAACCTAAAAATGTTGTAAGGTTAAACTTTTAGCTAACAAAAGTTTCTTTCAAAAAAAAAAAAAAAGAAAAAAAGGAAAGACATTATCGAGAATAATTACTTTTTACTACTAAAAGTATAATTACATTTTACTCTTTCATTAGTAAAATATTACAAAAATAAGCAATTTTTAAGTTGAAATTTTTAAATAAAAAGATTTGATTGTTTGTTTGTTTCTTTTTTTTAATAAAATGAAATTTTATTGCCAATAAAAGTAATAAAATAATTAAAGATTTTTACGTAAAAATTTATTTTTTTTTTTTGTAAGTGAAAATTTTTTTAAACAATGTTTGAAGTTCTTTTTTTGGTTAACAATTTTCTTTTCCAATCAAACAAAATGAAATTTTATTGTTCAATCCAATGCTTTTAAATGTTTGAGAAATTTTTGAAATAATTATAATATTTTTTAAAAAAAAGAAAAAACTTTATTGGCTAAATTTGAATTAAAATTTGAAAATTTTTTTTTTTTTTGATTTTAATAATACAAAACAAATGGTAATGGTAATGAAATGTTAATGAATAATTCATTTATTCAACTAAAAATTATTTCAAAAAAAAAAAGAAGGAAGTAAAAAGAGAGGAATTATTGCATCCGAAAAAAAAGCAAACTTTTTTTTTTTGTCATCATTTTTCTTTCTAAGCTTTAAAAGTTCATTTTCAAATAATACTTTGTCAAATTTTATACCAAGCTTATCTTTTATCCTCTTTCATTTCTTTTTCCCTTTTTTGTTTTTCGCTTTTTTTTTCTTTTTAATAATCAATAAAAATGTTTATAAAAATTATCATATACAATAAGGATTAACATTATAATCCTGTTGTTGTTGTTGTTATTGTTATTGTTGCTGCTCTTATTATTATTGATATTGTTATTGTTGTTGTTTATTATTTGCTAAATGGGAATAATATTTATGTAAAATATGATGATGAATGATAAATGAAAATATATTTGATAAAAATGAATAATAAACGAAAATTGTTATCAGATATGCAAAAATGTAAAAAGAAAAAAGAAAAAAATTAACTAAAATTCTTGAGAATATTAATTAATTATTTAAAAGTTAGGGGAAAAAAACGAAGGAAATGGTTTAACAGAGTTGGAAAATGCGAAAAAAAAAAGCAAAAGTTTTTGATGATTAAAAAAAAAAGTTGAAATATGAATGAAATGATTTATTTTATCTAAAATTTTATTATAATTATAAATAAAGACATAAGTAAGAATTATATTAAATTATGATAATAAAATAAATATTTTATTAAATTATTAATAAGAAATGACGATTAAATCAATGATTATATTTAAATTATGATAACAGATAACAATGCAAACATAGCTTATAGTAAATTAGGTACGAAAAAAGAAATAATTGTAAAGAATTTAAAAAATTCATTTTTTATAGCAATACAATTTAATTATTGCTATTAAATTTTGTAAAGAATTAGGAAAACTTTAAAAATATAAGTGTAAAATTGTGAATTTTTCATTAAATAGCAAACAAATGATATGATATGATATATGATATAAAAATTTTATCATTCGTCTATTTTGCATAAAATTACTTATTAGATTAAAAAAAAAAAAGGAAAATCCTGCTATATTCTAACAAATTATGCATATTATTTTGCCAATGAAATGAGCAAATTTTAATCCAATTTTTAATTAAAATTAATTAATATATTTGCGGCAATTAAAAATTATTGTTTCAATTTGAGAAAAAAGAGGCAAAAAGTCAAATAAATGGATATTAATATCATATAATGGTCAAATAATTGTGTGTAATAAGTAAGATGAGAAATTATTGCAAATAGTAATAAATGTTTGGAAGACAAAAAATTTCAATTTAAATTTCGATTTCGAGAAAAAAGTGAAAATATTGAAAAACTAACCAGGTTTAATAACCAAACAATAAAGAGCTTGTGTAGATGGTAATAGAATTGTTACATATAATAGGAATATTTGAATAATTAATTTAATAGATCGATTTGAATCAGTAGTAGTCATTATTTCTTTTTCCAAATTTTTTAAAATTTCAGCAAATTAAAGTAGTAAATCTTGTCGTAATTATTCAAATAAACAGTAAAATATTTTCAAATAGTAAAATATTTCGAATTTATTTTACAGGCACTTCAATTTTTGTTTTATATTCCCGTTGAATGAAATTTTCGTTTTTCCTTGATCAAATCAAACAAATTGTCCATTATGGCCAAAATCCAAATGATGATAAATGAGCCAAGGATGTAGAAGTTTGGGTGAAGAATTTGTCGTTGATTATTGTTGATGTAGAATATGAAACATTTCCAATAAATTTTAATTAAATAAAACAAAACAAAACACGTAGGAGAAAAGGTAGACGAAAATATAAGCATAGGAAAGTTTTTCAAATTAATTGATTTCCTTAATTAAATATTATCATAGAGCAAATATTACGATATTACAATTATACAATTAGGTTTTTTTTATTTCTATTTTTTTTCTTACTTTTTTTTTGTTCCAAATATGCATATAAAAAAATTAATCAATTTATTTAATTTAATATCGTAATAGATGTAAAATTATTAATTAATGTTTTCTCAAAGTAATAACTATAATAATAATAATAATGACAATAATAATAATAATAATAATAATAATAATAATAATAATAATAATAATAATAATAATAATAATAATAATAATAATAGTAGTAGTAGTAGTAGCAATAGTAGAGATAATAATAATAATAGTAGTAGTAGCAATAGCAGAGATAATAGTAATAATAATGGTAGTAGTAGTAGTAATGCTAGAGGTAATAATAGCAATAGTAGTAGTAGTGTATTAGTGGGAGTAATAGTAGTAGTAGTAGTAATAGTAGTATTAATAATAGTAGTAGTAATAGTTATTGTAGTAATAATAGTAGCAGTTATTGTTATTGTTGTAGTAAATATTGTAAAATAATTGTAGTAAATTTAATTAATAAATATTTGTTGAAATTTTGGCCAATTTTTTTTAAACAAATTCTATAAATTAAAAAAGACAAAAAATAAAATTATTTGTTTATTTATTTATTTGTTTTTTTGTTCGATTAAAAATTAATAAATAATTTAATTAATAAATATTTTAATTAATTAATAGCTAATAAATAATGTAGAATTGAATATAAGCATTCTGTTTTGTGCAATAAAATATAATTTATATAAAATGAATGAATAGGAAGAAAAGAAAAAGAGAAAATTCCCCTTCTTGGACTAGTTGAATTCGGTATAATGCAAATAAAAAGAAAAAAAAAGAAGAAGCCCAGTTGTTACTACCATTTCCTTTTCTTCCTCCTCTTCGTCCTCTTCCTCCTCCTCCTCTTCTTCCTCCTCCCCTTTCCTCCTCCTACTCCTTTAAATTCATCCAATTCCTTCCGTTAAGGCATAAAATTGACTGAAATTTGAATGGGTGTGGTATTTTTAACTAATGAGAACTTTTTAAAACAGAAACCAAATCTTGGGCGGGGCGCTTTTATCATCAACAACTTTATCATCATTCTCCCCCTGCTCCCGCCTTTCCTCGTATTCCCCTGTTCTTTCGTGGTAATTTTGATGATTATTAAATGGGAGGAGTTTTAGGGAAGATAGATATTTACATTTATCTATCGATAGAAAGATATATATATATATATATACATATAATGGTTAGGTAAGGATAACATTAATCCATCAAACATTATTTATTCATTCACAGAAATGAATCATTTGTTGAATGAATTGAATTGAATTGATAAATATTAGCTTAACAAAAAAAATATTCATAAAGATGATTTTATGGATATCATATCTAGTCGATATTATAATTTTCTAATCAATATTTTATCAATTGATAATAACATTTAACTGTTTACTTGATAATAACAATTGAACTTTAGCAAAGTTTAATTAAAATTATATATCCAAACAACTATATATACAATATATTTAAATGATACGATATCAAAATTAAACAATCTATATGCAATATTTAATATAACTATCAAACAAGTGTGAAATATCAAACGAAATTATCATCTATTGAATATACATTATCAAAAATAATCTTATCATTTATCATAACTGTAATATCTTTAATTTGTAAAGCAAATTTATCGACGCAAAAAAAAAAGAAAAAAAAATGTCTGTTACATAAAACAAAAAGTATTAGGAATATTGTTTGTTGAAGTGTTTAAATTTGTGCAATTAAAATTTTACTTTAAAATTGATTTAAATAAAAATGAGAAAAAAAAGGGTAATTAAAATTTGTTTTTTTTATACGACTGATAATTTTATAATTTAATTTTATAATAATGATTATTAATTTTATAATTTGTAAAATTTCACTTCAAAATTTTTATTTCTCTTTCATTCATAATTACTTCATACTTTACATGGCACGTGTTATATGTGTGTGTGTGTGTGTGTGTGTGTGCACACGTGTCTGTCTGTCCGTCCGTGTGTCTGTATGATAATTTAAATTTTACATGAGAAAATTCGTATTTTTTAAAAAGACTTTTTTTTTTAATTTGATATTATTTCTTATAATCAATCAACAATAATCTTTGCGAATTGTAAATTGGAGGGAAAAAACAAACAAACAAAAAAAAAAAGCAATCCATACATGCACTGTAATTATGCATGCATATTACATAAAGCATTAATATGCATGATGCATGCTTTTGCAAATCATTCATTTGTTGTAGAAATCGATAATTATTAGATCATAGTTGAGGAATTTATTCAAAATTTCCCTCAAACAAAAAAATTCCAACATTGCAAAAATATTCATTTTACTCATAAAAGTTATGGCAAATTTTTTTTCCCAAAATTAATTTCCAGTAAATAATATTAATTTCGAATTCTTTGCATACTAAAATTAAATAACGAACAAACGACAAAATGTATAATTTTGACAGCAAAAAAAAAAATTTCATGACATATTTCAAAAAAGGAATATTTTAAGAATTTTGAAATAAAAAAAGGAAGTGAAGTAAATGAAATAAAAAATTAAAAATTAACAAATAGAATAATTAAGTCATTTGTCATTTTTTCTCAATAAAAACATAGTAGATACGAAAGTTGTAAAAAACGAATTTTTTTTTAACATTTTTTAGTTTTTTTGGTAAGGTAAAATTTTATCTGTAATTATTTTTTTTGTTTTTTCTTTTCAAAAAATTATTTTAAAAGGAATTTTTGTTTCCAAAGAATTGAAATGATTTTAAAAAAAATTTTATTCAATTCAAATGCAAACAATTTAATGGAAATTTCTTTTCCTTTTTTTCTTTTTGCATAATTATGTATTTTGGTATTGGCATTCTTTTCCATTAAATAAAAACAGAAGCAGAAAAAAGGGACAATAAATATTCTTAAATTTTTGATTAATTTAAAATTGAATAGTTTTTCTTTTTTTAAAAAAAAAGAAGCGCAGGAATAAATTACATCACAATTGTGTTTATTTTACAAAAATTTAATTTAATTTAATGATTTGATAACTTTTAACCAAATGTTAGACTTTTTCATATTTTTTAACATTACAAATAAATGATTTCAAGAAAATTATAAAATACTTTTATTATTTTCAAAATTTCGAAATGGAAAAATTATAATTTATCAATTTTTTTTCCTTTTAAATTTTAGTCGTTAAAAATTTCCATTTCAACCGGTAGGTCTAAAAAGATTACTTGGCTTATTCAAATTTATTTTCATGACTAAATTTTCTAATGTGATAAATTTTAATTTTTTTTAAATTGGTAATATATACTATTTTTGGGGAAAAAAAAGTAAAGTTAATGAATTGCAAAAAAAACATGTAAAATAGAAATTTTTTTTAAAATTTATTCAAAAAGAAAAGAAATTAATATTGAAAAGAATTGCTTATAACAGCTCATAATATTAATAAATTTTCAAAATTAATTTAATAAAAATAATATGCAAATATTTACTTATTTTAGAAGGAAAAGAAAGAACAAAGAAAACGTGAAATTTTTAATATTAATTACAAAATATACATTGAAAAAAATGGTAGAAAAAATTTTAAATGCATTGAAAAGGAAAAAAAACATTTATGGTTTAGAAAATAAACAAATTCATGGGATAATTTAAGAGCAATTAAAATTTTTTTATTAATTACAAAATGAAAGTATATGAAAGTGTAATAATAAATTTCATTGTATTTTAATATATTCATTTGAACTTTTCTTTTTTGGAAAAAAAAACTTTTCTCAAATATTTGCAAATATTTGTATTAATTTGATGATTCATTTAGGTGATAAATTTAATTGCTACATTAGATTATAAAAAAAAAAAGAAAAAATGAAATTTAATAATTTTAAAAATTATTCTAAAGTTTTCCTTTGATAGAAAATAAATACATTTATTAAAATTATTTGTTCTTTAACAACGATTATATTTTATAAATTATATGAAGAAATTAATCAATAAAGAGAAAAGAAACAAAAATTAATCAATCAAAAGTAAACTTTTCCTTTTTCATTTTTTTTTCTTTTTTTTTTTAATTATGATGTATACAAGTTACACTCAATTTGTCCCATTTTAGACATGCAATTTCCGCTTTATGGATGAAATGTTCAGCTTTGAAAAAAAATGAATGTTGCAATTGGTAAAAGAAGAAATTGAAAAATAAAAAAGTAATCACAAAAGAAAATCAAAAAATTAAAATTAAATTTTCTACAGTAAAAATGCTAAATAATTTAAATATATACGATAGAATTAAATATGAAAAGAAACGTAAAATCGTAATGTATTTTAAAAATCGTTAAAGGGGGAAAAAAAGGTGAAATCATCATAAAAAATTAAAGTTTCAAAGATCATTAAGAATAATCAACGAGAAATTATCAGTGGAATGATTGATAATGATGGAAATGCTATATCGTTGCCTTGTCTTACCTGAAGGCAACAAACTTCCCACTTCCCATACGTGATGATATTAGGCAACCGCGGGATATTTTCAGGATGATTGTTGAATAATGGAAAGATTAATGGGTGAGGAGG